GTGAACATTTGAAATGTCACACTATTGAATCAGTTATATTCTTCCCCAGGATTTCGATGGACGACCATGTATAGTTTGCCCCTGGCATAAATACAAAATTACTCTGGCAACAGGAGAAGGACTGTATCAGTCTATAAACCCTAAAGATCCATCAGCAAAACCCAAGTGGTGCTCCAAAGGAGTAAAGCAAAGGATTCATACAGTGACGGTGGACAATGGGAATATTTTTGTGACTCTTTCTAATGAACCTTTTAATTGTGACTCTGATTTCTATAACACTGGAGACTTCAAAGTAATTCAGAGCTCTTCATGATAAAAGTATATGGCAGTGAAAAGTGTTGTGTATGTTTGAAAATATTTTTAGAGTAATTGCTTCAGTACCAAAGATGATGAATTTTTCCCAACATAGGCACAACTATTATTTACCTTTAATAACCATATAAATTTGAGAGGTTTAAAAGCACATGTATGTAGGATGATGTAAGGATTATCATCAGGATCTATAGAATACATTTCAGTCAATCCTCTGAATTGACTGGAACCTGAAGGTTATAGGTTTGGGATGTCCAATTTAAGAAGGATGAAAATTATTTGGAGTAACCAAAATGAATAATAGGTAAAAAGTAAGATTTAGGAGGAAAAAACTTTAATTGAGGAAAAAAATCCTTATTTGATATAGCAGAGTTTATTCTGGAAAATTTTTAATATGTACAAAGTAAACAGAATAGTATAATAAATCTCCATCTCTCAACTTAAAGTTATCAGCATTCTTTTATTCTTGTTTTGTTGATACCTCCATGGATTCCCCACCTCCCCATTTGTTATTATTTTTACATTTTTCAGTAAAATTTAAATGCACTGAAATGCTCAGATCTTAACTGTACAATTTTTCCAAATATATAGCAGACTTTTTACACTTAAAAATGCCTCCAAAAATGAGATTTACATGCTGAACTTAAAAACAAGAAACTTACCAGTGTGCTAGACAATATACCTTGGCTTAGTTTCTCTCCAGTCAAGGCAGACTCTTAAAGTCAGGAAGCCACACACAGCTGCTGCCAGCCTGAGAGATATGAAGTCTCCTGTTCAGTGAGCCAAAGTACTTTTAATGCCTATGAAATTTTCAAATAAAGGGGTTTTTGGGGGTTTTTTTGTTTTGTTTTCTATAGAGGACTTTGTGCATGTATGCATAAGTAAATTTCCCCGTAAGTGTTAGAGATTCAGGGTTTTGTTCTTCAGAATTCACAGGTAGAGTTGATACTCGGTTCATGCTGGNCTTCTCCCCTTCTCTTCTCCCCCTCCCCCTCTCCCCTCTCCCTCTCCCCTCCCTCTCCCCTCTTCCTCCCCTCTCTCTCCCCTCTCTCTAACTGGTACAAAGTACAAATTTGAACTTAGAGTTTCACTCTCTCTACACTTGATATACACGTGGTTCTACACCTGTCCTCATGTTAAGGGACATATTCGTGTTGAAATTATGAAAATGTGAATTTTGCTAACAGTTGCATAAGGTTACAAATCAGTATTCCTGCACTTCTGGTATAGCAACATTGGTGTCACCTGGGAGCTTCTTAGACTTGCAAAATCTTTGGCCCCAGCTCTAGGCCTACTGAAATTAAACAGATAGATCTGCATTTAAACAAGATCCAGGTGATTCCTGTGCTCCTTAAAGTTTGAGAATCACTTCATTAAGACAATTTAAAACTTGGGAATTAACTATTTTGGATCACAAATTGCACTTCAATTAGCATATGCACTCATACCTTTAGTAACTCCTCTTAAATTTATACTTGAGACTTAACAATTCTTCCAGCAGCTGGTGAAAATTTCTTTAGAAGCACTTGAAGGCCCATTTCTGTCAAGGAAATGACATTAACATCTGATAGATAACAGCACAATCTGCAGTCACACCGTATAGTTGCCTGAAGCAAGACATCTTCTCATAGAGCTCTAACTTACTGGGTTTCTCACCAAATACAAAAAGGACTTGATGACTGTTCCCAGATTAGTATCTTTCTTATGCTGAATAATTTGTAAATGGGAGGAAAAAANAGGCAGACTCTTAAAGTCAGGAAGCCACACACAGCTGCTGCCAGCCTGAGAGATATGAAGTTTCCTGTTCAGTGAGCCAAAGTACTTTTAATGCCTATGAAATTTTCAAATAAAGGGGTTTTTTGGGGTTTTTTTGTTTTGTTTTCTATAGAGGACTTTGTGCATGTATGCATAAGTAAATTTCCCCGTAAGTGTTAGAGAAGAGATTCAGGGTTTTGTTCTTCAGAATTCACAGGTAGAGTTGATACTCGGTTCATGCTGGTTTTGCCACACTGGTTATCTATGGCCAGCACTGTTCTGGTTGCCTGGGTGCTGATCATGCAAAACTCAGCACACAGTATAATATAAGAGTAAGTGGGACCAGAAAGAACTAGGTTGAGTAAGTAGATTATGAATTCAGAGTGAGAAGAGCTGTTTGTCAAGTTTGGAACCTAGTCTCAAAGCATAGTAATCTTAGTGCATAGGGTTGAATTAAGAGTCTAAACCTAATAATATTCTAAGGGGTCCACTTGCACTCTTTCCCTTAGTTATTGTAAAAATAGTAAGTGAATAACGTATGTATTGTCAAGGCTCTGCTTATAGAGCCCTTCGTTACATATTATTACGTTTCCTTTTCTGTTGGAATATGGGTAGTAGGAGGGAATACAACACTTATTCTCAGACGACTACTGAGCCAGACGTGGGTTTTTTATAAATACTGTTTATGGCAGCAGCTACTCACCAGGTACAGATTATATGCCGTCTGTGGGATGGGTACATCTCAGTTTATTATATCAAGTGTTAATACTCCAATGACCAGTCAGGTCTTAACATGTGTTCAGAATTTGAAGTGCGTGGAAGAAACCAAAAGTACTTCCCGCAGGCAAAAACCGTGGTCCTGATTTGCAGTGCCAATTACAGAAGCATTTTCTCTCAGGAGCCAGTAGCAATAATGAGTAATATGGACTTGATTTCTCATTCTAAATTTGTGTCTCCAAATCCTTAAATAAAAATGGTACATCAGGGGCCGGCCTGGTGGCGCACTGCTACAGTGCGCCGCTTGGGAGCGTGGCGGCGCTCC